ATGTGGTGAAAGTAGAGAAAACAATTAAACAAACAAATGGGGAATTGCCGAGAAAATGGGTGAAATAATCCCCACCAAAAAACTTGATCCAACGGATTAAGGATAGAGCAAATAGAAGAAAGAATGCTCTCAGTTTCCCATATGTTGTTTTTGAAAGAAAGAGAAAAAAGAACCAATAAAGGATCCAATAGAAATTGTACAGAAAGAGGAAGCGGGTGTAGACCAGCATCCCAAATCTACCCAAGAAGAGGTTGCATTTGTACATAAAGAGGAGGAGGAGCAACAACCAGTCAGTCATTATGTTAGTGAGGACTACCCATACAAGGTATGAAATGTTTTCTTAAAGTATTTAAATATGGACAGTAAATATTCTGATTTGCTTATCTTACAGGTCTAGCCAGCATCACAAGTGATCGAGTTTCCTGCTATGCGGGAAATAATCGATATATGCTGTAGAAAATACACGGACTTGTTAGTTCACCTAATTTTTTGGTTGTTCTTCATTAATTTTGTAACTGTAAACTGAAATAATTTTATATTTCCAATGTAGGGGTGACCTTTTAATTGATATGGAACATGTTTCAGTGTCGCGACGTTATCTCGATGAAATCTTGGGAAACGGTTGGTTAGGCAATAAATAGGTTGACTGTTTTTTCCATGTTGATGAAGAATAAGCGATGTAACCCACCACATCTATATAGATCGCACATATATGTTTCTTCATGCCACTGGGTAAACTTTGTAAAATTAAAGTTTTTCTTGTTTGCATTTATACAAATCTAACATGACAATACTTTGAATGTTATTTTATTCTTCTTGATGTAGTTGTATAGACAAGGTAACATTAAACTCTTTGTCACACATATTACAAAGGATGTTATCCAGAAGACAGAGTTAATATTGATACCTATAATAAATAATCAACATTGGATACTTCTTATTGGAACACTAACTGAGGGGAAATGGAGAGTTTATGACTCCTTACCCAACATAATGCTGATAGACGGTTTACTTGTTCAAGTGGATATGGGTAAGAAATTTTTTATTGGATAAACCATCCCAAAATCAAAATTTTTAAGCAAAAAATACCTTTTGCTCTTTTCTTTCTCTCCCAGTAACATAGCTTGGAATTGGATACTCTTTTAGGTCGCATTTTGGCTGGATCATTCATATTTGATTTGTTATTCACAAGATTTTTGTTTTTTTAGCTTATTTTCGTGACTTTGAACATCTTCCACTTATTATATCATCAATATCCGATGATAATTTCTTCATTAAATCCTTCATGCACTGCTTAGCCTATGCATTTCCATTGGTTTTATTAGTAATTAGATATGACATTTTTTGCATG